GGCCAGATCATCAATCTATCGTCATATCGACACGTGGCGCTCAGCCATCGGCTCCTGCCCACGGTGAAGCTATGGTTTAATGTAAATTATAATAAAATATAATCAATATAATATATTTTTCTTATAATCTTTTCGAAATTAAAAATCAAAACAAATTTCTATAAGCAACTACATCAAATTAAAAAATATATATTTTAATATTAATTATATTATTAAATTCAATATATTTAATATGTCAAACTCTTAATTCTTTTTAGACCTTCCATTTTACGAATTTTTTTAATTACTTTTTGGTTGAAAAACCTTTTGGAAAAAAAGCAAAACACTATTAAATGTAGCTTTTAAAACATGCTTGTAAATTAACGAACAACATTTTTATCAGCTAAATAATATGAAAAAATTAATATATTTTAATTTGATTTTTATTTTGAATAACGTAGTTTTAAAACTTTTATTTTGGTACTTAAAATGTAAAGTTTTAAATATTTAAGTATACGGGTAACATGTTGAAGCATTAACCGGTTATAATGTTGATGTGATGAGTGATGTGGTATCCAACTCAGTATTATTTGTTGACGTGGTTCATGACATGGATTTTTTTAATATAAAATTAATATTCAATCGGTTATTCGGGTACTTAAATGTTTAAAACTTTATATCTTAGATACCAAAATAATAGTTTTGAAAGTACATTAACTAAAAAAAGATCAAGTTAAATTATGTTATTTTTTCATGCAGGTTACCCTTTTTATTATATTTCTTTTATCAGAAAAAGAACTTTAGAATATACTTATGTTCTTGATAGCTTTTTCAACATTTAGGGTTTTTCTGGTCTTATATTTATTTTAATTTATTAATTAAATTTTAATTATATATTAAAATTTTAATTTGAATAATAATCAGAAAAAATGAAAAAATAAATAAGATGTATATAAATAAAAACACAAAATTTTGTAGAAATATAAATGTAAAAAATTGCAATTTTGTTTTTATTTCATAATTATTTTAGAATAAAATTCATAATATCTATACTATATTATAAAACATTTAACAAAAACTTTTAAAAATTATTTTTTATGCATGAAAAATTGTTTATTGTTTATTGATACATATTACTTAAAATTCAAAATTACAAGTAAAATGTGTATAAGTACAATTTATCAAAACTTCATATTTGAATTCGTGTAACTAACTGCAAATAAACATAATTAAATTCAAAATAAACTTCTCATCTTAAATACTTAATTATGATCATTATAGAAAATTATATTATTAAAAAAAATTACTCTGTTATTAAATCTAAATTAAAATATACTAAAAAATTAAATTAAAAAAATTACACAAAAAACTAGAACTTTTATATATATTTCAAACTTTTATGATATTTTTAAATTTATATTGTATTAAAAAATAAAAATATTATCAATTTATCAAAAGAACATAAAATTGTATTATAACATCGACAAAGACAAAAAATAAAACGAAACATTAAAATCGAGATGTATTTCGCTGCATTGCACGAATACTCTTCTAATGTATTTAGAATATAGTTACACTGTAAGAAAATCGAAACCTCATAAATAATTTTTACACGTTTAAATTGAAAATTGTATAAGATGCATTGATAAATCTTAAAAAATAAAGTAATAATAATTTAAAAACAATATATGGGACCATCAAACATTTGAAAAACCATAAATAATTTTTTGAAAATTCTTCAAATTTGAAAAAGAGTAAATTACGTTTTGTATTATTACGGTTTATTAAAAATTACGGATTTCGTCTTTATGGTTTCGAATTTTCAGTTTTCATCCCTATGGTTTGTGATTCATTTTTATGTGCGTTCCTGAGGCTATAACATTACTTTTAAGTATAAGGGATTAAAATAGAAATGAAGTATAAATCATATGAGCGAAAAATCAATAAAATTTAAATCATAAAGGATGAAAAAAGGTAACGAGTTATCAACCATAGAAATGAAATTTGTACTTTCAAAATCATAAGAATGAAAATAGAAACTTTGAACAAACCACAGGGACTAAAAACATAATTTACTCTTCCAATAATTATATCTTCTCGTTTTTTTTATCGAAAATCTCCGTTTTATCTATTTTAAAGTATATGTCATACTTCAAATGCATGTTTAGTATGCATATTACACTGGATTTGACTAGAATCGAGTTGATTGCTTAAATAATTATGTATGATTTCAAGGTTTAATTTAACATTAATAATATAATAATTCAGAGCATTTTCAACGTATTTTCTATACTTTTTCTTAAAATAGACAAACAAAAGTTAAAATCATCAAAAAGAAACTAATTTAACTAACAATTTATTCATTTTGGAATGCAGCGAGATACATCTTGATTTTAATATTTTATTTTATTTTATTTTATCTCAATCAATGTTATAATATGGTCTTATGTGATTTTGAAAAAACAATGATGTTTTTATTTTTGATTAAAATATAAATTTGTGTAATTTTTTAATTATAATTTAATTTAAGTTCAATAACAAAGCAATTTATATTTGGTTTAGTAATATAATTTTTTTTATTAAAATAATAGTTAAGTATTCTTTTATAACTCAATGATTATTCTAATTATATTTTAGATTTTTTATATTTAAAATGAAATGTTTATCCTGTATTTGATTATGTTTATCTGCTGTTAGTTACACAAATTCAAATATGGAGCTTTAATAAGTTGTACTTACGCACAATCTACTTGCGATCTTAAGTTTTAAGTAATATGCATTATTAAACAGTACTTTACGCATAAAAAATAGGTTTTAAGAATTTTTGTCAAATGCTTTATAATATAGTATATATAATATTCAATAAAACCTGACAGTACCCGTTTCGGGAACGTCCAGTGCCAAAGTCACTGAATGGATAAGTTGTCAATCCCTAAAACGAAATATGTAATGTACTTTATCTGTCATCCCAACAAAATAAAAATCAAATAAATTTAATGTGAAATGATAATATAATCAATTTCATTGATGGAAACATTTAAAAAAACATTTATTTTTAATTGAACAAATATTATAATTTAAAGATTTTTTTATCTTATGTCTCCTACTTTCTTTTCTTTTGGGATAGTTTTGGATAATCTGTTGAAACATAAAATAAGTTAAAATCTATGAGATATTCACTTTTTCCTTTTTGGATAATTTGTCAAAGATACTTTTAAAACATCTCCAACAGATTCTTTAAAATAAAAAAAATTGGGATTTTTGTTTCAACAGATTCTTCAAAACCTTTCTCCAAAATAAAGAAAATATGAGAAAAATTGATTAAATCTCTAAATTTGAAGATTTTGCCAAAAAAATGATTACCTATGAAAGAGTAGCTATCATTTATTATTCCTACCAGTAAGAACCTTTAAAATTAAGTGTATAGAAATTTTTTTATAGAAAATATTTAATATTTTAATAATATAATCGATATTGTATTCTTCAAAATGGAGAGGTTGTTGGAAATGAATATAAATTTTATTTGGAGATTTTGATTTTTGATTCTTCATTTTGAAAAATCCATTGGCTGGAGATATTTTTTTAATCAATTTTGTCTCATTTTCTTGATTTTTGTTAGATCTTTTTTGGTGGGACAAAAATGTACTTCTGTTCCACCGAGCTCATATTTTGTCACGGACTAATGTCGTAAAACAAAAAGGTTTTGCACTGCCATGTTTCACATACGAAACACGTCCTAACTTCCAAAACTGCATATTTACTAAAACAAGCTGTTGAAACATTTCATTTTAACGAATCAAAATGGAATCAACTTTATTTATGTTAAACATGAATTAGGCGCTTGTTTTGAGAATTTGTTCTTAAAAACAAAAAGTCATTTGATTCATCATTTTGCACTTTGTCGTTTATATTCCGATGTGCTTTCTTTTAAGAACCCATAAAGTAGTGATAAGTTTGAGAATTAGTGCATCATGTGATATTTCATATGGTTTTTTCTCAAATAAGACCAAGGGTTTGTTTGGCTCATGCTGATAAATGAAAATGAAAATGAATTTTCATTCCTGTAGTTTAACCATGAATGAAATTTTGGGCTTTTGAGGGAATGAACCCATTATATTATAGAAAACCAAACAGTTTCTTTTATTTTCATTCTCATTTAATGCTCAATACCTACCAAGTACCAAACATCCCCTAAGATTTAAGGTGTATTTGGTTCACGCAATAGAGTGAACATGTGAATGAAAATGAAAAGGCTAGGGAATGAAAAGAGGGAATAATTCTCACTCCCCTCGGTTTAATCTTAAATGAAATTCAGGCTCCCGAGGGCATGACTCATTTGTATTTTATTAAATCAAACAGTTTCATTTATTTTCATTCACATTAATGACTGCTTAATATCTAAAAAACAAACACCACTTAGAATATTGATTAACATATTTTTTTTTTCACAATATGAATCTCTTAATATGTTTATGAAACAAAAGTTATACGTAATCAAGTTTCACATTGTTAACCGAATATATAAGAAACAAACACATTGCAAACCGAATAAATGTTCATCAATACATTAAATACCAGTCTTACATTCAAAAAATCATATAAAATAATAATTTAAAATAAAAGTTCTCACAGTTGTCACAATACATAAAATTCTCATTTAATTACTCCCCTCATACTTCATCAGTAAAAAAAAATTATATTTAAAAATTTGAACATATGATAACTTGTAGTTAAACTTTTTAATAAATTATTCACCAAATTAATTTACATTAAATATTATATGTATGTATATATATATATATATATATATATATATAGATATATAATTAATGTTTGAGGCTCTTGAGTGAAGATGGGGGTTTAAAAGGGACATCACATGTATTATGTATGTTGAATAGAGAGAGAGTATCAAAGGAGAGGTCAGGAAAATTTCAGAAATCCACGAATAGGTAACCTCCCAACACACACTCTTATCCTCCTATCTTCTTCTCCATCATCATATATCTCCGATTTCAACCAAATCCTTCACTAATTTTCATAAATGACCTTCTCATTTCGCCATTGAAGAACCCAACCACACTTCCGTTTTCTCAATTTGCAGAAAGCTATGGCGCCAAGGTCAGCCAGAGGAAAAGGAAACAAAACTAAATCTGACAAGAAGAAGAAGGAAGACAAAGGTGTTGGTCTAATCCTTATTATTATTCTAATCGCAAATTATTATCAACTCCTTCTGAACGCCGATTCTCTAATTGCTGTTTTTTTTTTTTTTTTGCAGTTGTTCCAAGTGTTATTGATATAACAATCATCACTCCATATGAAACACAAGTTATACTCAAGGTAGTACTACTAGTTATTTACTGGTTTTGCTTGATTTTGACTTGATTTCTTACGAAAATGCAATCTGTTGTTCGATTTCGGTTCAGTTTCCGACGAAAATGCAATCTGTTACTGGTTTTGTTTGATTTCAACTTAATTTATATCCAAAATGCAGGGTATCTCAACAGACAAAATCCTCGATGTGAAGAAATTGTTAGCTGTTAATGTCGATACTTGCCATCTAACAAACTACTCTCTCGCCCACGAGGTGACCTTCTCATGGAAAAACCATAATAATTGCGATTTATTTGTTTCTAATTAACTACAAACATTTATCATCTATAATTATTGATGATTAATAATTACTAAACCAGTTTTAATTCTTAATTATTGGTGTAAATGACGAACAACCATTTCTAGAGCCAAAATTCTGGAAAATAGTTGTGATAATTGATGAGCATTGAACAATTTGAACAGGTTAAAGGAGCAAAACTGAATGATAGGTTGGATTTGGTTTCTTTGAAGCCTTGTTTGATGAAGATGGTTGAAGGTAGGTTGTTTTCTTCACCAATATTTCACAAAACTATAAACCATAAATAATATATATATATATATATATATGTATATATATACACACACGTACGCATACAATACACATATACGTATGTATGTATTTGACGTATATTTTGATTATGAGTGCACGTTTTTTATCGTCATAATTTATCATCTGATCATCATTTATAATTTTTATCGTTTAATCTTCGAATTTGTAAAACAACGAAAACAACTCATAATTTCTGGATTTAGTTTTTGATTTCTAGATTTTTTTTATTTCTCAGGAGACATTTCCAATGAATATAGTGCTTTGTCTAATTTGATCTTTGGACACATGCATTAGCCAACTAAAATCTCAACAATTTTTCCATATAATTAAATTTTATTTACTCACTCATTTATATGTTCTCTTTTACTCATGTTCCATTTTTATAATGTTTTTTTTATCCTAAATGATTATTAATTTACTAAAATAACCTTTTAATTACTTAGGGTTGTTTGACAGTTGCTAAATGGTTTGATACAAAATGATTAAATAGTTAGAATGATTAGAAGACTCTTATGATATAGTGCAAAATGAAATATAATTATTTGGTACTTATTAAAAATGAAATTAAAGTGTCAAATAGTTAAGGGAGACCCAAGATACAAAATCATTCAGAAAGTTTTACAACCATTGAGAGATAAGACTTTTTTTTCTATCAAACAAGATTCATCTTTTAAAGATTCATCTTTTAAAGATTTAGAGACTGTCTTTTAATAAAACTATTAAAAGGTAAATAAACAACATCTTATTTTAAATAAAAAAAGTTATATATATATATGTAAAGGTATATTCCAACCAAATTCCAAAGAGGTAGATGACAATATATAATGTATGCCATTGTCGTACGCCTTTTCGATAAAAATATTAATTATTTAAAATTAAAATAATTTTATAAACCTTGGATCGGGATTTGATTATTTGAATTAATTAAAAAACCAATTAAATTTTACCACGTAAACTTAAAAACAATCAGGGTATTTTTGTCTTTTCAGTTTTATAAAAATTTCTATAAAAAATAGTCTTTAATATTCAGCTGAATGAATAAGATCCCTTTTTAAAATTCCTCACTGGCCCTTTTTTGTCGGGTACTTTCTGAATTAAATTAATAATGTGATCCAATACATGACGAAAACGTTTTCCTTTGACTTTTTTTAATTTTAATAGTGCAATTTGATTTTTTAAATATTTTTATTAATGATATTTTTCATGTTCTATTTGTTTGAAAAAAAATACAAGATAAATAATTTACTGAAAGTATTTAAAAATATAAAATTATAAAATTTTAATTATTGGGACACATGTTATTAAATATTTACACAATTGCCACTGACCATTTTCTAGAGGAGTATACTGAGGAGGCGCATGCGGTGGCGCACGTGCGGAGGCTACTTGACATCGTCGCGAGCACAACGCGGTTCACGAAGCCCAAGACCGGAAGAGGAACCACCGGCGCCGGAGCCGAAGCTCGATCCAAGAAAGGACGATCTCAAAATGTGCAGGCGACAACGGGCCGACCCATCTCCCCTCTGTCTGATGGAGGAGAAACCGTTGAAAATGGCGGTTCTTCTGAAACAGAGACAACTGTGGTTACAACGTCTCCGGTGTCGGAGAACCTCGACATGGCAGCCATTCATCCGTTTCCTAAGCTCTCTGATTTCTACGAATTCTTCTCTTTCTCAAATCTATCTCCTCCTATCTTACGTAAGCCCTAGAGTTTTTATTTTTATTTTTTGAGTTTTGGTTCTCATAGTCGATGACCTCTTGTTTTTTTGATCCTTCAGAGTTGAAAAGAATTGATCATCGGGATGCGCAAGAGCAGCGCGAGGGTGATCACTTCGAAATGCAGGTTCTCTCTCAAACTCACACATTAGTTCCCGATGCGAAGCTCATTCGCCATAGAATTATACATTGTTATCACTTGTTTTTCAAATTCGAATTCAAAAATATTTCGAGCAAAAACAGTGAGTTATTCACACAGATGATGATATCTTCGCGATATGCAGATTAAAATATGCAACGGGAAGTTATTTCAAGTAGTTGCATCCACAAATGGCTTCTACGCCTTGGGAAAGCAGTTTTTGCAAAGCCATTCCCTGGTGGATCTTCTCCAACAGCTCAGCCAAGCTTTTGCTAATGTCAGTACAGTGTTTCCTTTTCTGTTTCATTTCTAGACATAGTGTCCTCGCTTCTTGAAATCAAAAGAAATTTCCATGGGCGACATTTTAACTTTGAAGTCGGAATTATGCAGGCATATGAATCCTTGATGAAAGCATATGTAGAACATAATAAGGTAATATCTATTTGTTTGTTTATCCATGAACTTGATTAAGATTATGCTGGAATGCGTCTGTGTTGATGCTAGAAGAGTGTATTGAGAAATAGAAGTTATGATTTTTTCAGTTTGGTAATCTTCCATATGGTTTTCGGGCGAATACTTGCCTAGTTCCTCCATCCATTTTGGACTCGGGATCAAACTTCCAGCCACTTCCTTCTGAAGATGAGAACTGGGGTGGCAATGGTGGAGGCCAAGGGCGGAATGGTCAACATGACCGTAGAGCATGGGCCACAGAGTTCGCAATATTGGCCAGCCTTCCTTGCAAGACTGAGGAAGAAAGGGTGGTTCGTGACCGAAAGGCGTTCTTGCTTCATAGCTTGTTTGTTGATGTCTCTATCTTTAAAGCTGTTTCGGCCATACGCAAAGTCATGGATAGTGTTGCAACATCGAATTGTCCTCCAGGATCAATCATGTGTGAGGATCACGTGGGGGACTTGTCTATTACAGTGAGACGAGATGCAGCTGATGCAAGCTCAAAGCCAGAAGTGAAGGTAATTGGAGTTGGATCTCCTAGCATGTCTTCTGGGGAAGTTGCTCTAAGGAATTTACTTAAAGGAGTGACAGCAGATGAGAGTGCAGTTGTCCATGTAAGTATGCTTTGACCCAATTTGGTTCAATTCTCTTTGTTGTAAGGAGTATGAAGGACTGGATTGTTTTGGATTTTGGACGCACGCAATCTTCAACTCATTCAGCTGCTGGTTAGGAAAATCTGAATAAATGCAGTCAACTTTTGCAGGACACCACCTCTCTGGGTACCGTGTTTGTAAGGCATTGTGGATACACAGCAACTGTAAAGATCGTTGGTGACATCAAAAAGGCTAAGTTCATGTCACAAGATATCGCAATTGATGATCAGCCTGAAGGTGGAGCCAATGCCCTTAACATTAATAGGTATGGACTTTAGATCTCATTTGTACTCGTGTAAAGCTTAGCTAATTAACAGATTCATTAGATTAAAAACTGCTATTTCAAAGCTTCACAATTGTATTTCTAGAGGTTAGAGCTCCAAATCACAATAACACAAGATTACCTAAAATCATTGGTGTGATTTAATACTTGCTTCCCTTCCCATTTAGAAATCTTTCATAATAATACTTTAGAAGGACAAGTTAGACGGACATGACCTAGTATACTTACTGGTTTTGTATGGAAACTTTTTACAGCTTAAGAGCTCTGCTTCACAACTCGAGAGATTCTGACTTGTCAGGATCCCAGTCACCCCAGTCTGAACAGAGCAGTTTTGAGTCTTCAAGGTGTCTGGTTAGACAAGTAATAAAAGAAAGTCTGAACAACTTAGAGAAGTCAGCAGATTCTGGGTTGCCTATCAGATGGGAATTGGGCTCTTGTTGGTTGCAGCATCTCCAAAAGCAGGAAGCTCCAGCAGGAAACAATTCAGAAAGACCCAACGAAGATAAAGCTGAAGCAGTTGTTAAAGGCTTAGGAAGTCAATTTAAAATGCTGAAGAAGCGGGAAAAGAAGCAAAGCGATGCTGATTGCTCGGATGATACAGAAGAAAGCAATTTAGGTCAAGAAAGCAGTGTAGGAGAGCCAGACAGCAAAGAGTCGAGTTCGGAGTCAGAGTTGAAGAAACTGATTCCAGAAGAAGCCTTCTTAAGGTTGAAAGAAAGTGGAACTGGTCTTCACTTGAAGGTTTGTTCATCTTTATAAATGTGAAGGCTTGAGACGAACTTCTTTACTTTGTTTGAAAAGGCTAAGTGCTCTCAATGCTTCTTGTAACAGTCAGGAGATGAGCTTATTGAGATGGCGCACAAATATTATGATGAAGTCGCATTGCCTAAGCTGGTACTATTCTTTGTACACGACTAATTAAATCATAAGGGACATCACCATACTTTGACGTCACAATAAGAACTTTGATCCTTGTTTTAGGTAACAGACTTTGCATCACTTGAACTCTCTCCAGTTGATGGACGCACACTCACTGATTTCATGCATTTAAGAGGATTACAGATGCGCTCTTTGGGACGTGTGGTAAGAAGGCTCTCTCTCTCTCTCTCTCTCTCTCTCTCTCTCTCTCATGTCCTATAGCCAATGCTTTTTATCTCGATGCTGACTAGGCCAGAGTCTTAGAATGGTCAATGTTTATCTTAAATCTTCACTGTTTGATGTAACTTTTGGTAATGGACAAAAGGATGTTAAAGCGTCTGTATCATTAAAAAAATTGTTATCGTCTTCCCCCTATTTGGGATAACGTTCCAAGAATTATCATATATAACAAGTATCTGACTTGTAATCTAATTTTACTAATTAGGTTGAACTTGCTGAGAAGCTTCCGCATATACGATCACTATGTATTCACGAGATGGTGACACGTGCCTTTAAGCATATATTTGAAGCTGTTATTGCCTCTGTCAAGAACTTTGCGGAGTTGTCAGCAGCAATAGTCTCAACCTTGAATTTTTTGTTTGGGGTGTGGGCAGCAGATAATAGAAGTAAAGTATTTCTTGAAGATCAGAGCCTTCAATTGCAATGGTTACAAGCTTTTCTATCTAAAAGATATGATTGGAAGATGAAAGATGAATATCAACACTTGAGGAAGTTATCGATTCTCAGAGGACTGTGTCACAAGGTACCATTTGGCATCACTTTTATAAGTTTGTGATTCTATGGAAAAAAAATTGAATGCTTATAGCTTCACCATGTCCAGATTGGATTGGAATTGGTTCCAAGAGACTACGATATGGGAAGTCCAAAGCCATTTAGGAGTTCTGATATTATCAGCATGGTTCCAGTATGTAAGGTAGATGTCTCCCTCTCTCCCTCCCTCTCTCTCTCTCTCTCTCTCACACACACACACACACACAAGCGTGCAACATGCATACACAACAATTTAGCATTGTACTAATATATGGATATATATAACAGCACGTACTATGTTCCTCTGCTGATGGGCGGACGCTACTGGAGTCGTCCAAGATTGCTCTGGATAAAGGAAAGCTAGAAGATGCAGTTAACTGTGGAACCAAGGTAACATTATGTGCTGGAAAATAATCAGAAAGTTCCAATCTCTAGATATCAGAAGTTGTTAACATTTTCACATGCAATATTCAAGGCACTTGCAAAGATGATAGCTGTATGTGGTCCTTATCACCGCACCACCGCTAGTGCATACAGTCTCCTTGCAGTAGTTCTTTACCACACTGGTGACTTTAATCAGGTGACATATTATTGCTTCTTTCTTTCTTGGTTTAAGGGGGTAGAGAAAAAATCAAGAGTTTATGATCCATGGAAAATATATCTTTTTGTGTGTGTATGTATATGTATATATATATATATATATAGAGAGAGAGAGAGAGAGGGAGGTTCAGGGAAAACCCCCAAAAAAATGAAAAACTGAGGAACACCTTGTAAACATTCATTTGTACAAGTAATTGAAGCTGTTTTTTGGTTTTTATGCATGTGTGCATGTTATGCACATGTGAATACCGGACAAATTGCTTGCAAATTATTTGTATGCACATGTGCATACTGTTCAGATGAACTGTTACCAGGGTGTTCCTTAGTTTTTCATTTTTTCGCGGTTTTCCCTGAACCTGACCCAATATATATATATATATATATATATATATATATATATATGTGTGTGTGTGTGTGTATATATATATCGTTTTAAAAGATTGGACATGTTTTGTATAAGGCTTCTGTTTCTTGCATGATAACAAGTTCACAAACCCCAAAACTGGGATGCCTGACTCGTGTGAATCTTGTGCATAGGCAACCATTTATCAACAAAGGGCTTTGGATATAAATGAGAGAGAACTTGGGCTTGATCATCCTGATACAATGAAAAGTTATGGGGATCTCTCAGTTTTCTACTACCGTCTCCAACACATTGAACTGGCACTTAAGTAAGTAAATCATAACGGATTATTTTGACTAGGTTTATTTGGCCTTCCACTTGAAAGACGTTTTTGCTTTTAAGAAGACAAGGATTATGCTCTCCTTTGACGTGCTGCTGATAATTTTCACGTTGTGTTTCACAGATATGTCAACCGTGCTTTGTTCCTTCTGTATTTCACATGTGGACTCTCTCATCCTAACACGGCTGCAACTTATATTAATGTGGCTATGATGGAAGAGGGAATGGGCAATGTTCATGTTGCTCTTAGATACCTGCATGAAGCCCTAAAATGCAACCAAAGATTGCTCGGAGTGGATCATATACAGGTCCCCCTCTCTCTCTCTCTCTCACACACACACACACAACACACAAAGATCTACAGGAAACAGACATGTATACATTACTCTTGCAATGCCTTTTGAGACTTTGAGTAAATATCTTTGACTTCCGTTTACAGACAGCTGCAAGCTATCATGCGATAGCCATAGCTCTTTCACTGATGGAAGCTTATTCCCTGAGCGTGCAACATGAACAAACGACATTACAGATTCTTCAAGCAAAATTGGGAGCAGAGGACCTTCGTACTCAGGTGAACATCCTTTCATCATGCTGGTTTTAGTGATGATATTGGCTTCCCTTCCATTTGTTCTATTCATAATCTAGAGCTTCACCATGTTCTTGTTTTGCAATCAATCTTATTTCATATCTTCATATGGGAATATTTGACAGCATGTGATGTATGTTGCTTTAAATTCTATGTGATTATGACCCATATCCTCATTAAACACAGGATGCTGCTGCATGGCTTGAATATTTTGAATCAAAAGCCTTAGAGCAGCAAGAAGCAGCAAGAAACGGGACTCCAAAACCAGATGCATCCATTGCCAGCAAGGGTCACCTTAGGTATTAATATGGTATATCCATTTTACTCGATGTGAACTGTCCAATAATATAACTCCGAGGACCAATTTTGACTTTTTTCTTGCAGTGTATCAGATCTACTTGATTTCATAAGTCCAGATCAGGATTCCAAGGGGGGAGACGCACAGAGGAAACGGCGTGCCAAGGTAGTTTAGTACCGAGTTATATAGAAGTAGCAGAAGAAAATTTTCAGTTAGATGTTATGATCCCCCAAAATGATTGCTTCATGATGAACCAATATACTTTTAAGTACTTTAACTTGATCCACAAACTGCATCTTGAAATTGGCAATGGACAGATTGCATAAAATGGAGAACATTGACGGGTGTCGAGTTCGACAAATAATAAAGTCCTATTTACCACCTGTTAAGCTTATTAAGTTGAAAACAAACACCCCCCAAGGGAGGTTTTATTAACTATAAGATCATCTTAAAATGCATGGAATTCATTATAAAAATAGGTTCCAATATGCATTTATGAAGCATGTAGTTTGAAAAATGTCTTTTTAGTACACATCGTGTATGTGAAATTTGACGTGCTTATGAAAGTACGTATTTCATAATAGATCTTTTTCAAACCATAGATCCTTAAACCGACAATTTTAACCATAGGTTCTTAAATGTGAGGGATCAATGAAATTAGTTTCTTTATGCAGTTTGAAAGAATCCACTATTCTTATGTTCTAATTGACCATCCTGCTTTGCTTCCGTTATCTATCAGGCATCAGCAGTGGGTGAGAAATTTCATGAAGTGCAGACCGATACAAGAAACGATGACACTGTAATTCATGATACCATGGAAACCACTGTGGCAAAAGCAGAATCTACGATTCATGAGGATATATCAGATGTGATTGTCGAAAAAGTGAAAGGGGGCAATAATATCATTAAAAATGATTCATTCATCACAGAAGAAATTGTTCAAGAAACAATCTCTGATGAAGGATGGCAAGAAGCAAACCCGAAGGTGCGGTCAGGAAATGGTGGTCCCAAAAAGTTTGGCCGAAGACGGCCGGACCTGACTAAACTACACATTAATGGCTCGGAAAACACTAACAAGAGGGAGGTAATTCAGCAGGGGCAGAAAATAACACCAAGAACAAGCTCAACAGATTTATCTCAGCAAAAGCAGTCAAAGACAAGCTTGACCGGGGGCGAGGACTTCACTAAGCCCCCCATAAGGACGTCAGTACCCAGAATCTCCCCTCGGGTTTCCCCGAGTGCAGCAACCGTTAACGCCATGGCTTCAAAGTCTGTGTCATACAAAGAAGTTGCAGTTGCCCCACCAGGTTCGATCCTAAAGCCATTACTTGAGACGGTAGAAGAAGTTGAGAATCAGGAGAAGGTAAAAAACGAAGAAATCCCCGTATCAAACGGTTCTGGTGATCCATCAGAGGCAGTCAAGAGCGAAGAACTTGATGTAGACGATAGGATACCAGATGATGAAGTTATAAAAGAAGTTGATATCGTTCATGAGAGTGCATCAAAGTTGGCAGAAGTTGAAGATGCAGAAGATCAATCTGGAGGTAACAAGGCTGAAAGTAGTAGCAAACTTTCAGCTGCAGCTCAACCATTCAGCCCAGCTGCTGTACCTTTGACTCATCCTCTGGCAACAAACGTGTATGATGTTATAGCCAGTCAAGGCATGTTAGCCGAGCCAGTCGGATTTCCACCAATTGCAGCTCGAGTTCCATGTGGACCCAGATCGCCATTATATTACCGAATGAGCCAGTCATTTCGCATGAAAAACGGGTTCTTGAAATATCAAATTCCTGGCAGTGGTTTCGGTAATAGCCCAAGAATCATGAACCCACATGCACCCGAATTTGTGCCGAAACGAGCTTGGCAAGGCTCAGAACCAGGTGAAGGTTCACAGTGTGCAACTAGCGGCAAAACCGAAGACGAAAGATTGAGAAAGACAAGCTCGGATGCCGAAAAGGCAGAACTAGCAAGACAGATTCTGCTTAGCTTCATTGTGAAGTCCGTCCATGATAACTCGGAGACCCGAATCGAGCCCTCGGAGAAAAGGCCCGAGTACAGCGATGGCTCAACAGATGCAATCGCGAAAGACAGTGCAATTATAAAGATTCTTTACGGGAACGAAGCGGAAGCGCAGAGCAATGAGGCAAAAAGTAACAAAAACGGAGACGGAGACGGAGACGGAGAAGGATTCGTGATGGTGACGAAACGACGACGAAACAAACAGCAGTTTGCGAGCGGGGTGAGTGGGTTATATAACCATACGACCCAGCAATCTGTATCTGCTTCAGTACGTTGATTGAGGTTAAGAATGGTTGGTTTTTTGGCAACATATCCGCAGAGGCTGTTGTTCTTCCTCTTTATGTAAAGAGGTTTTGTTTTTGTTTACTAATAATAATAATAATAAAAAAAAACATAAATGTGCATTACTCTTGCCTTTTATTTTTATTTTTGTTTGTGGTACAAAAAAACAATTACTACTTCCTCCGTTTCAAAGGAAATATTCACGATAAAAATGATACACAGTTGTAAAATACATATAATTGTTATTAGTGGTGTATCTTTACGATGCAGTATGGATGAATCACAATTTTGAAACATTAGTTTAGCTTTGAATCATGAGTGTGTGTGATTATTTTACAAGTCAACTAATATATAAAGTTGAAGACTAATATGGTGTATTAGTAAGATCGATTGGGAAAATAATTGCATACATGTTGAGTTTCTAAACTCATATAAAATTGAAGGGTTGGGGTGGGATACATGCAGGATGTGAAACCCTTTATGATATTGTTGCTTTAAATTTCGGTTTAGTTCAAGAGAAAGAAACTTTTGAGTTTGAATTTGGATTCAAAATAGGAAACAAACAAAGTGTCAAACAATTTTGAGAAGACTAAACATACATTTTTCATGTAAATATTGTTTATTTAAATCTGAAACTTTGACCAAACAAATGATATGTTTTAAGCATTTGTACATTATACACAATAACTTGTATTTAAGAGATTTTTGAATCTCTTACATAAATTACTAGTACTTTATGTTTTGAGACTTATAATTAAGACTTTTGGTCTAAATGCTTATTAATGTAGTATAGATAATTTTTAAGTAACTAATAAATAAATTTTCTTTATTATATACTTAAGGTAGAATATGAATTACATGCTTACTTTTGAAAATGAATACTAAAATAAAAATGTGAACACTTAATTTGAGAGGGATGGTTTATAATCGATTAATTTTATAGAGTTTAAGGATTAAATTTAAGAAAATGAAGTTTGGATAACCAGGAGTATATGTTCAAATAATATGAGATTTCTACGAATACTTGTTACAATCCATGTGGTTAAATTATAAAAGATAAATTTTATGAAAAAAGTAACGTACTTTAACTTGATTCTTATTTAGATAACGTACTTTTAAAACTTTCATTTTAGTATCTAAAATGTAAAGTTGTAAACATTTAAGCATCCAGATAACCGGTTGAATTATTATTCAACTGTTATTTCTTTATTATTATAACAGAAAACTATATAACATGAATCGATCGGGTAACCGACGCCACTTTTATGGAGAATAAGATGGGTCGTTTATAGGAGAATTAAGAGGAAATAAAACCAAAAGTTTGGGTTCGGATCCTCTTTTCGGACTCGGATGCAAGTAAAAACCCTTCTCAGCAATGGCTTTTTCTTCCTCTTCCTCCATCGGCGTCCCAGGGCAGCTCCCTTCACCACCACAAACATCCAGCGTCGACACCGGCGACGCCACCACCATCTCACCATCCGCCCTCACACTCCTCTTTCTTGCCGCCGGAGACATCAAAGGCCGCCGTGCCACATTTTCAACACTGATCTCGAGCTTCCTAATGGTTTTCCTCCGTTCATGAAGCTTATAACCGGATCTCCGGCGACCAATTTCAGTAAAGGTGGGTTTTCCGGCATGGTGGGAGGGGGTGGAGATTGGTAGTTTGTAGGCTGAAGCAGACGGTTGATAGAGGGTGGTAGCTCCGGTGAGTCGTTGGACGACGGCGCGGAAATTAGAAGGGTCGGTTTGGACAAAGGTGGTGGCGGGTTTTGAGTTCGGACCGAACACTTCAACATTGTTGCCGTTAAAGAAAGAAGCCATGAAAGAGACTCGAAATCGGAATGAAATAATTATTTCGAAAGAAACCAAGAAAAAGAATGTGTTGAGAAATGGATGTCATCAAACAATGGCGTGTTGATATATACTAAAGCTACAAAAATAACAAACCACGTCAAAAAGACGAAAACGACTCTATCGTGTATAACGTATACGGCTTAACAGGTAGACGTTAAACGTACGATGTTTCACATTATACTTCATAACATGTACTTTAGAGGTCGGGTCAGTAATTTCGGCACTGAACAATCAAACGGAATTTTTAAACTAAATCAGACAAATCTAGTATATTTCATCTGAAGATATGATTTAAAAGCGATAAAATGTAAAGTTATATACAAATATAACACGTCGTAAAAAGTAAAACGAATGTTTCTATAAATAACGTCGGGCTGAATAGGTGAAAAAAGGGGTGATCCATGTGGGTTGGAGTTTACAAATTGAAGTGGTTTTATCTTTATGTTGCTTTTGGTTGGTTTGTTGTGTAACTTCACCGCCACGGGAGATGCCTTTGTCTATTGCTTATTGATTAAGCTTCTCTAAGAGATCTTGTTTCAAACGTTGTAACGATAATACAGATAAGACCATATTTAATAAGGGGGTGTTTGGGATTTGCTTATTTGAAACTATTTATTTTTTTGTATAAAATTACTTATCAACTTATTATAAGTTAGAAGGGTTTAACTTTTTCAAAAACTTCTTATTACCAGTTTGACACCGGTATAAGTTGTTTATCCAAACACTCAAAAGTGCTTATTACTGGTGTCACACCGCAATAAGTCAATAAGTTGTTTTTATAAGTAATCCCAAACACCCCCTAAGTCATTTATAAAACGATTTTTTTTTACTGTTTCTTGTCATATTATCGCCAGCTCACCAAATTAAAAATCTACATTAAATTTGGTAATAATAAGTATTTATAAGAACCCCTTTTGTAAGTCTAATATAAAAAGCCGATAAAATACCATTTCATGCGGTTCAAGGTAAGAACCAGCGTTTTTTATACAGTAACTCTAAAAATGTGGGTCTTACAAGAACCTCTGATTAGAGATGTTGTAAAGCGATTATTTTTTATGATGATATAATGGGTTCTTACGAAAAATTAACTCACCCAACTCGTCTCTTTTTTACAGATGTTCAAAATCGTGATCATTGATTCAAGGATTCATTTCAAGTTTTTTGCTGTAATATGTATCTTGACATCTTATTTCTAGACTTAATAATCGGCTTATTGTAATAATAAATTAATCATTTTATATTGATATTTAGCTTTTAAATTTTAATTTAACGGTTATTTTAAAACTATGATCCAACATAATCAACCCATTTGGGTTGGGTTATACGAGAGGTGATCATTCGAAGGCTTGGACAGACCATGGGTCTAGCCTAACGTAATTATGTTGTTCATGGGTCTAACATAACAAACACAAACCTGTTGAACCGGGGTTTGAAACCAAACTTCTCCACAGGAGGTYGGTAGAAAGAGATTTCCCTAATGACAAAGCTTTTAACGCCGCCCAATATCCTTTCCTTTTCCAAATATTTTTACGAATACGCTTTTTTGATATAGAAGTACGCTTTTTTTAATTAAACTTTTTTTAACAAAATATTAATTATGTTAAAAGAAATTAATTGATTATAATTATATAACGGGCTGTGCGGGTATGTCTGGGTTTTTCCATAGCACAAGTCCGTCCATTAATTTGAATGGTCCCGTTCAAGCCTATCTTTTTTTTATTCAAACGGTTATCCAAACTCGTTTCTTCTAACGAGTCGGATAAATCGGGCCTCACGGTTCGTACTATCCATGAAATAGCTCTAGCTTATACCTTAAAAAATGTTTTGAACAAGTAATAAATTTCTAGATTGAAGTAGTAAGGAGTTATTTGAACGTTTTTAACCCAATCAGCTCGACCCGGTGTACTCCTATTTGAACGTAAAAGTACAAAAATCGACATAAATACAAAATGATATTAAAGAAGTGGAAATATAAAAAAGTTGACAAAATTGCTTTACGACTTAGAATGGTTTAGATTAAATTAACTATTTAAAAGTTCTCATTTTTTTTGTACAATTTTTTTAATTCAAATTTTTATTATAACTTATTTTAGGTCTAATAGCAAAGTAATTTATTTTTGGCTTAACAATATAATTTTTATAAAGATAATGATTCTGTTAGAACTCAATGATTATCCTAATTATATTTTAATTTTTTTCTATTTAAAATGAGATGTTTATCATTTATTTGATTATGTTTTTCTGCAGTTAATTATACGAATTCAAAAATAAAGTTTTAATAAGTTGTATTTAAATTTTAAATAATATACATTAATAAATAATACTTCATGCATAAAAAATAATTTTTAATTTTTTATCAAATGCTTTATAATATAATATAGATGTAGATAAACTCGACGACCCATTTATCTATACTATATTATAAAGCATTTGGCTAAAACTCTTAAAAACTCTTAAACTCTTAAAAACTCTTAAACTCTTAAAACTCTTAAACCCGTTCATCCCTAAACAATTTTATCCATATCCGATTTCATCTCATAACTGAATTCGTGTAACTAACTGCAGATAAATACAATCAAATACAGGATAAACATCT